GTGTGAGTGTGTGTGTATTTATTACCCCGCTGATGATGGCAGCGAGTTCTCTCATCTCACCGCTCATCCCAGACAAGCCACTGAGGGGCTTCAGCAGCCGCTCCTGTGGCACAGCATTAAGTTGATATATCAATGTTAGTGTAGTCCAGTGTTTCTCAAACTTTTTCATACCAAGGACCACTTAACCAATAAAAAAACACTCGCGGACCACCTAACTCCACAAATATCCAAAAACACATCGTTGTTTACAAATCGCCTGAAAATTGTACAAACAAGTGGCAACATGTGTGATGAAGGTGCTTATCTGGGCTATATCATGCAATCGAAAGTGAAACTTAAGCTCGTTCCATTGCGGAGATATTCCCACGAGAGTGCGAAAAACTTAAATAAATTTATTTATTTCAAATATGAAATTTTACCAATATACTCACGGACCACTAGGGGGCGCTCACGGACCACCAGTGGTCCGCGGACCACTGACTTTGAGAAGCACTGGGTAGTCCTATGAGTAGCTTTTGAGTTGGATTGTTAACATGAATTGTGTGCCATTCAAATGTCTTCACAAATACACTGAAATTGTTTTATAATTACCATGTGGTCTAAGTCACTGCCCGTTCCTTGGGTTGACACTTTGCCTTCAGTCATCTGGCCCTGAGAAAAGACTTAAACTCATTACAAAGTACAAAGTAATGAAAGAAATAACTCACATTAGTGATTAAGTTTCACATTTCTATAAAACGGTGTGTAGATATTTATGAGTCAATGTGTCATTTGTTTACATGAGGGAATTTGCATTGTTTGCTATTCATGTCGACCCCAAAATACAAAAGGTCCTTCTTAGCTAGTTTTATAGAGACTCATCAATACAACCTTATGTACAAAAGGTTATTCAAATACAATGTGTCATAAAACAACGTAAATCCACTTTATCCATATATAAAAACCATGTTTTTCTAGTACCTTCCTGTTGGTAGCCGCCTCCCCAGCTGGTCCGTTTCTGATGGAGGAGACATTGAGACCGAACTCTGAGGACTCTGGAGGAACAGAAGAGCCGGTCTCCTGGAAACACAGCCATCAGAAGTTCAGATCATCACACTTCAAATCCATATTCTGATCATGACTGTTGTGTTTTTGATGTTTTACATTTGTTTGAGAACCAGCAGCTGGCCTCCTGGCCCCGACTGCAGGCTGCGGGCTCTGGGAGGGGATGATTTTGGGAAGGGGCTTCACAGCTGAACAGGGACTCCTGATCGACACAGAATAAAAACATGTTTCAGGGGAAGAATTCAATAATAACTGGCAGAGTTGATCATCATTGCACTTTGAAGCAGACCAGACCTCATTCAACATCATAGTCAAGTTAATCGAATGTATTTTCCAATCAATAATTACAATGTTTTATTGTTGTTTGTATTATTTTGCTCATAATATCAGCATGTATGGACAGTGTATGACTATAACATCCTTATTGATTACTAAAAGAAAGGTCGTCTATAAGAGGGAGAACTCACTTCTTCACTCCACCACTTCTTATATTTCTGTTTTCACCTTGGCATAAAAAGAAAAGAAATATGAATTAGCTCTAATTAAGATCTAACAAGTACAGTGTCATTTAGAATGTTTGTATCACATTGAGCATGAGATTGTTTTAGCGGAGGTGGTATACCTAGTTCCGCGGTTCTTCTGATAAGTTTGGGATACTTCTGGAACTTGACATAGTGATAACTCTCGTACTCCATCAGCACCATCTCCAGATCGATGTTGTCGCAGACCTCGAACCTCCTCACACCTCCATTAGTCTCCTGGTCCAAGGCCACCGCTGCAGACACGTAGCTGGGGAACGGACACACACAGGATGTCACACACACACACGCAAGAACCTTAGAAAAACACAATCGAGGTCAACTATGTCTGGGAAGACTCACGTGATTTAGTATAAGGTGCTTTTATTTGATGAACTGCTTGTATCGCCACCAGAAAAGTCAGACATTTTCAGTTTATACACACACACACACCAATACATGGTCTTCTGTACACTTGTTACCACGGATCATATCAATTGCTATTTCACACATACCTGCTAAATCAGTGGCATATATCAGTCATTGTAATGAATCCTTAAATGCAAGCACTTTCTAGTCTTTTTCCTTTGGCAATTTGTAAGTCTGCTCTTTGCAACATCACATGTCATTAATAGCAGGACAAAAAGGAACGTTGGGATTTTAGCCTTTGCAGACCATTTACATGCACAATATACAATAAACAGTAACACACTACAGGAAAGGGAAACCCTTAAAAAGCATATCAAGGCCCATTAAGAAACTATAGTACAGACAAGCCTCTGAATGTTGAAAGGTTTCGACATGCGACTGCACACATACTGTATATGTGTTAGCAGCACCACTGTGGAGGTATACTGACCCTTGCCCCAGCAGGTGGTGGTAAATGAGGATCAGGAGATTCTTCCTCCTGGTCTCAGTCCTCAGCTCGTCCTGTTGGACAGCAACACAGAACACACTCAGCTCCTCAAACACAACTGCTGCATTCATGTCAACAAAAATAATTTAAAGTTTGGTTCAATGTGTGGTTTTGTTTAGACATGAAAAACCAATACTAAGTGTTCTCTTGGGTCTTTCACATAGACATGTTTAGTTTAGTTGTTCCCCTGTTTTGGGGAGTTTTCCTTGTATGCTGCACAGTCTGGTCCCGTAAGGCAATTTTGCAATTGATGATATTAAACTATATGAATAGTAATGGATCCATGGATTGATAGTAGAAAAGAAGAGGGGGGTCGGTTCTAAATGCATACTGCAAGGACCATGAAGTCAAAACAGCTAAAATGTGATTTTTGTCACAGGGGGATTTCCTGTCTGGTAGCACTTTACTGTCGTTTTTTTATTATTTATACTGATGAATCACACCTGCGTTTGACAAGTTGGAATGTCACCCGCGAAAAAAAAGACTAGTGGTGATCTTGATAACTATATTTGATTACACTTGTACTCCCTGCTACTTTACACATGTGTAGAGCATTGTAACGGGGGGTATACTCGGATGCGGACATACAAAATCGCAGTAGAGGGCGACAAATCGCCACTAATGACAAACACCTGACTGGTATCTAGGCAACCTGTAGACGCTGGTGATTAATGGTAGGTCTGGATGCGTGCAAAACTAGCTATCCTGATTAGCTCAACTGCTAACAGCTAATTGTTACGCTAACTGTCACAGTTCAACGACGACCTGGCCATGTTTTGAATAGTAATTTAATTTGGCCATAAGCAGTATAAACTAACGTTAAACGCCCCTCTCCAAAGTGTCTCAGTTGCTAGTGAAGTTAGCTTAAAGTGTTTAGCTTACAAGCAGTTCGTCTACCCTGATAGAAAAACACAAATAAGAAAACCCCTTATTCACTCACCGCTTCCCGGGTTTGGTGTGCAACCTTCATAGATTGATATGAAAGCTCCATCTTGTTTCTGGAAGTTTAGTGAGAAGACGTTATGATTAGTAAGCTGTTGTTGGCCCACACTTGTATTCTGAAGTCTGTTCAGTGTTAGTGTGGGGGTCTGGGTATTGTCCCTAGGGGCCACCGTACTCTCAGGTGTAGTATCCCCCTGTACACCAAATACTGAAACAATGACAATACAATTATGTAATAGTTTAATTAAGCTTTAGTGTATTATCAGAAAGAGGAGAGGTAGCCGACTTGGAAATATGCATTGTTTCTTAAAAAAACATTTGATTAATAAATTAAATAGCTTTCTAAATGCCTAATTAATTACAAAGCTGTACAAGTGAAAGGATTGGTTTGGCAACTCTTGGAAAGCCAGTAGGCCTAAGTGGACCTCTGTTTAAGAGGTTATTACTAAGAAAATGTACTATTATGTCAATAGTGACATAGTGTAATGATTCATTCTAATCACAAATATTGGCATCAGTTGAAAATAAATAACTTGAGCCTTGATTAAGGGTCATGGAATGTCTATACTGAGATGTACAAATATTTCTATCCAAAGAAATCCAATTGTGTGATACTGAACATGTTCACTAGAGGGCAGGGAAGAGCTTGCCTGTGAGTACATTGGAGCTATGTAATAATGAAGGTCCTCTGTTTGCTTCATGTTGTGTTTTAGCACACCTATTTATGCAAGCCTAATGGAGGTTTTGTGACACTCATTTTCTTTTTGGAATCGTTTATCCAGTTTGTTATATTTTCTGCATGCATCCCTCACTCTCTGTGTCTGTGTTCACCTCCTAAAAGACATCTATTTGCATTGCCCTGACATGTGTTACGAGGACATTAGCCTGGAAGACAACAAGCGATTAGTCAAAGAGGCCGTCGTCTATCCCATTAAGGGGCAACCGCTGCCCGGCACCCTGGTATTTCAGCTGCGTCGCCCGTCTTCGATTCTGAATACATCTCCTTTAAAGGGCTTGAAGAGAAGGAGGGCAGCGGGTCAGGCTAGTTTGTTAGGCTGACATTAAATCTATATCTGGGATAATATGGCAACACACACAGATGGATATATATTTCAGGGAGGATGAACATCGCAGATTGGACACACTATAGTATAATATAAACACACACACACCTGTTAAAAACACCACATACACCCACACCCACACTTCTATCATCATCACCTGGCCCTCTCTCATGGATCTGATGACAACAAATCAGGTTGTCTGCATCCTCTTGGCATTTGCAGACGGAGATGAGGACGGATGTGTCTCTGCTCTGTTCTGCTGGCCTGTTATTTGGAATACCACCATCTGTTCACGCAGCATCCCTCCACCTACTCACTCCCTAACCTCATCCAGATTTGTATCAACTCTCTGGAGTATATAAGGTCAGTTTTGTGATTTCACTCAGCTTGTGTTTACCACCCAAAAATGCCCATGATGTTGGTTTTGCAGGAGCTGTGATGGATTACTCAGTGCAGTTGAGTTCTTCCAAGATTTCAGATGTGTGTGTTAATAAGAAATAAAACAGGCTTGCATTATTTAACTTCGAAAAACATTTATTTCTTCTGGCACTGTCAGTTTCCATATTTCCCTTTACCGTATATTGTACTCCCAAACATCAACATTTAAAGTACAGTGATAATGTTTTTGTTTTGCCATCCATCCATGAGACCACGCTGCTACTGATGCTGCTGTGTGGAAACCAAATAACTACAGTTTAGATAGTTATAAAGTATGTTTACTCCCAAAAAACCTTATATGTTGTATGTTGCAGCTGAAAAGGTATTAACCGGGAGATGTTGGATATTATTTGCTTGTAAAGTACAATTCCAAGTGCCTGTGTATAGTGTTTTGCCCAATAGGGCTAGTGCAAAGTCCCACACAATGAAGAGCGGCTGTAGCAAACTCATGTAAACGTACTTGACCACAAAAACGTATATAACAAACTTCAGGAAAAAGCAATATAGGGACCCATTTTTTTTGTTTGTTTGCCAAGCCAAATAAGAATCGCACACATATTTGAAATGGCTCCTATATTTCTCAAAAATAGCTCTCTACCAAGGTGAAAGAGAAAAGACAGAAAAAAGTGGGGTTGTGAGAAGAGCATTGCACTGAGGTGCTGCACAGTAGCTCTGGAGTAGATCTCACACACCATGACAGAGCATGTGTAATCTTTAAAGCACTGCTGAGTTGAAATGAACCTGACTATGACTCATACGGAGCCAAAAAATAGGCCATTGCACACACATCATCCAGGCAGTTTACTTCACCACATTAAACACATATTATTAACGGATAATTGATTGTCAATGAGAGATTTAGAGCCAACTATCAAATGTATTCTTTGCAGCAAACACGCTTATTGACGTTTATCTTTGTGAAATTAGACTTTTTATGGTGACAATTTACACGCTTATAAATATGAAATGGTATTTAGTAAGAAAATAGAGTGCTTTGGCTTTGAATCATGTATTTAAGTTAGTTTCAAGCCAAATTAAGCATATCTGTTTTTAAAGTGATTCCTTGGTCCCAGTATTTATCACAGCTGAATCCTTTTTCTTAAGTGATTGTTTGCTAGTGAGTGTATACTCAATTGCCAGTTACAAGTGTTATCTGTTTATTCCCAGAATAATGATTTGGCAACCTACTTGTAAATAAAGGTCTTTAGGTCTCCATTCTTTAAGCCAGATTTTAAAAAACAAATCACTGAAGACTTCACTGACTATGTTTGAGCTCTCAGATGTTGTGTAGAGTAGGGAAAAAAGGAATCAAACGCTGTATTTTGGATAACCTTAACGAGGGGCGAGAACTTGAATGTAGAACCGGTACTTTTTGCAAATTTAGATACTACACTTCCAGGTAGAAATATTTAAACGTGAATAATCTAGCATGGAGTTTCCCTGATGCTAGACTGATAGTGGTTAAGGGGACGGATGTGATGACAAGGCAAACCTTTTGAAATGTTACTGTCCAATTCACCACCGTGCCTCAGAAAACCCCCGTTTCTGTGAGTAGCGTCCCGGCCTCGAGCAGCAGACACTTGACATAGACGCGTACGGTGTAGAACATGGTGAGGAAGTCCTGGGTGCTGAACAGGGTGTCCGCCAGAGCGAATCCCAGCGTGGAGGGGATGAAACCTTGGCCGTACTCCACCATCCACGTTCCGCCGCTCCACTGGACGGATGTCGCCTGTCCTACACTGTGGACGATGGTGTCACCTGTGGAGAAGAACATCTGGAAGTAAGGGACGAGGAAATGACAACAACATTTTCACATTCAGATAACATTTTTACATCTTACATTTAGGTCAATAAGGAAATCACAAATACTAAAACATGAAATGTATTGGTAAAATATGTCATGGTATTACCGGGGTAGTATATTTCACTCTTGGTTGTCCCCTCTTTCCACTGTCTGAAGGTGCCGGATATGATAGTGTCAGAAATCTCAGCCCAGTAACGACCTGACAGCAGGAGAGATAGCAGACATGGAGTCACATTTCCATTGGTTATTGACAGATTGATTCCAAAAAACGAAGGAACACAAACATAGAGTGTACACATCACTAGGAAAAAGACTACCCAAGTACAGTCTTTATGTAATAAAAGTGTAGGATATATGCTGCATATTACGTTTTCTTTTTCTACATAAATCCTTTACGGTGTCCTCAGTACAAAAGATAAGGCTGCAGGTAATAATATAATGTGTGTATCATTTAAGTTTATGATTGCAGACTTTAACCCCCTTCACTCCTCACCTGAGTGTCCTCCTGTGTCCACTGCAGTGCCAAACAGCAGCAGGTACTCAGTGAGCGAGGCGTGAAGCAGACACATGGAGCCCATCCAGCCACCAGCGTTCACAAAGATCCACTGCAGGTCCTCGTCTGGCAGGATGTGGCCAGGGTACCTAGTTCAGGTACACTTTATTAGCTGTTTTAAATAAAATGCTACACAACTACTTGAAATAATTGTGTTTAAAATATTGTATAACTCCACAACATCAGATGCAGCCCTGTCTACAAAGCAGAGTAAATAACCAAGTTTAGTTGAATTGTAACAGCTCTACCACCATATAGCTTTAAAGACAAACATGAATCTAATGACATTTCAACTGACTGAATATGAGTCAATTAAACTTTGTTTTCACTTACAAATAAACACCCTGATAGTTAATGCTTCAATGAGAGGGGTTTCTTATCAGTTGCAGCTACAAATGCTTACATGACAGTAAGTATATTATACATTTATGATTAAAAAACAATGTGTGTGTACCTCTTCCTGAGCTCCACCACCACTTTGGAGAAGGCCTGCTCATGGTCCTGTCCTAAGAATACACACATATACTGTTAATTATATGTTATTTGGGCTATTTAAATCGCGTATTTCTACTTTAGACTGCATTTGGCTGAACAGCAGGTTAGTTTTGAATTTATGTAGCTATAACACTCCTCAATACCAAACTAACCTGCGTACTGTTTGGCTATTTTGGCTACGTCTTCTTTGTTGAAAACGTACTGCTTGGTGGCCATCCAGTGCCGCAGCAGCAGCACGGTCATGACGGTCACTGCGCCGAACAGGAACAATTTTAAACACGTTTTAACTATAGGCATGGTTGAAACTAAAAGAAAACAGACACACACAACAGCAGCAGCGTTGACTACACGTGTAGACAGAGGCAGAAAGGTTGTTTCAAACACGCCATAAGGCGAGGAGGCGTGAGACGGTGGAGACCAACTGATAGCTTCTTCCCGGTCAGTTGGGGAGGGAATTGGCTGCTCAGCCAATCAGGGGACGAGTTCGTCACTTAGGCGTCAGCAACTTCAGGGTTGCCAGTGAAATGAAAAACCCCCTTTAAGTAGTTTTGTATTTATTTCGTTTGCTTACACAAAAAAAGCTACGAATTCAAATATATTCGTATAGTTTGTATTGAATTCAAACCTTTCCGTTTTTTGTATGAATAATATTGTCGTTTTTGCCCTTTTTTTCCTTTTAAAAGTTTGTCTTCAAACGTCAATTTATCCCAAGCAGCCAGATTGTTTCCCATGTCGATAGACAGGAAGCGGGCAGATGAGTGTTGTGGACAAGTAGCTAGCTGTTCAACAAAGTTAAAGAAGGAGTTTATGGTTCAGTGACTCCATACCTGGAGAGGTGACAGTTCTCAAACTGCACCGAAAGACATGAGCGACAATAAAGAAGTCAGTTTTGATCCTAAAGGTACGGAACTTTTATGAGATAAGGGCTAATTTCATTCATCCAGGATATGATAGCTGCAGATCTGTTGATTACATTACAAGAGCCATTCATCAAATAATGTCGACCTATTATAACAACACATTTACAAGTCTAATTTACTAGGACGTTCTTGTCATTCAAAAAATGTCTTACGATACTTTCTTCCCGGAAGCTGTTGTTGCCGATAGCCTACTAGATGAAGCATTAAATTAACACATTTACATTGGAATTCAGTCATATTGAATTTCCATGGTAAAGTAACGTGTATGGTGCATGAAATCTATATTACTGTCAAACCACTCAGTCAGGCCTGTTTTCCTGAATTGACAGAATGCTTATTGCACCGAGCCAGCTGTGTAGTCTCGTGACTTGAGTTCCTGCTGTTTTTACTGCTGTAGGCTGCAGCAACAGCACACAATGCTCCCTATAATCCATGACTTTACCATAATCAACTATGTTTGGAGGTTTTTGGATGTGTTGTTTGTGTGTTATAACTAAAAGGCAACATATCTTTCACATGTTTAGTCTTACTGCCCTATTCTTCAAGAAAGGGCCAAATCATTGACAAGGAAAAATAGTGATCAGCTGTTTCCAATTATCAGGTGGATAACATGCACATGATTGGACTTTGCTTTTGGTCACCTTTTTGCCCTCAAACTAGCTCTCTGTGTGATTACATACTCTTGTTTTATCTTTCCGAAACCCTGCAGAGCACCAGCACCTGCGTTATAATCCTCTGCGGGACACCTGGGTCCTGGTGTCGGCCCACCGTATGAAGAGACCCTGGGCAGGTCAGGTAGAAAAACCTTCTGAGGAACACGTACCCAGACATGACCCCAGCAACCCACTCTGTCCCGGGAACACACGTGCAAATGGAGAGGTAAGACCAGGTAGCTACTTTGAATAAATCAATGTCATTTATATATACAAACATGTCATTTTGGATACATATCCTGGCACTTGAGGTAAATGAACAAATGCCAATTATATAATATTGTCTCCTATTTTGTGATACCCCTGTGTCTGTCTGTTTCTCTCTAGGTAAATCCTGACTACGACAGCACTTTTCTTTTTGAAAATGACTTCCCTGCTCTACAGCCAGATGCTCCTGACCCTGGTAAATGTAATTTCTGATGCAGTTAAATTACTGATTTGATCTCAGACTAAAAAAGTGCACTCAGTAGAGTCTCCACCCTGTCTGTCTGGGAACAACCAATGCTGCAATGTTGGATTAAATACAGACCACAATTGTATAACAAATCACAAACCCATCAGAAACAGGACGCCAAAATCAAGCAGTCGAATTACTTCACCTACATCTTAGAAACAAAACATTTCAAATTTGAGATAATTTCACGGCACAGTAGACGGTTCAATCAGGGTGAATATGTTCAGATGGATCAATGCACTTACTGTATGTATTTTAACAAGTACTTGTTGAAAGAGTAATACCTTATTATATTTTGAAACAACTTTTTCAGGTTCAGATCAACATCCACTCTTCCAATCTAAGGCTGCCAGGGGTGTCTGGTAAGAACAAAGCTCCATGTCACACAATGCAGGATTAGTCAATGTCTGCCGTCACACTGTGATGCTTTTTGTATTGTGTACAATGGCTGTTAAATGTTATTATTTGGAATGATGGACACTATTCTTTATTAAGTGAGGCATATAAAAGGACTGAATTAATAATCTTGTTCTAAACAAATTATATTGTATTAAAATAATGTCGAAATGTATGTTTTATATTGTACCTTACCAACAAACCAGTGAGATGAATATTAAACAATAAGTAATTGAAATTAGCATGTGGTTAGAATTAACTCAAGGATGCATCTTAATCAACGTTCCTTCTAAAAAATGATGATACATTCAAATGTATGACTAATTAAATCGGAGCTGAGCAGTGCAATCAGAGCGGTCATGCTGAGGCAACCTCCATTCACTGCTGCGAATCTGCATAATCAGCTATTAAGAGAAGAGGCTTTTTGTGATCAACACACTGCATGCCACTTGTGTTCGTGATATTTTGAACTATGCAAAGCACAATTACAAATCCACACCGTCCACATACACACAGTATATTAATAAGTGTGTGTTCCTCCGGGACGCCAGCAGATGGGGATGTTTTATTAGAAGTAGACACGTATCTTTTGCTGGTGCTCACTGAGATTTACAAAACAAAGAAGTGTACAATTACAAACAAATATTTGCTTTAAAGTTTTTTTATTAAAGCTTGGCTCCCGCTTTGCCATGGATCAATAAGTGTCAAGCACATTTAAATGAAAAGAGGATTTGATTCAAATTCTAATGTTCCATATTCAAATCATATCAAAGACATGTCCTTGTCATGATGCCTAACCCTTAAACATTTTTCATAATGTTTTATTGATTAAACAGGGTCTATAAAATCCGAAAATAGGGGAAAATGTCTAATGTCAATGTTACCCACATTCCTTTGTACCCACCACATAAAATACATTTAAGAAATGTAAACAAAAATAGCAGGGGACTTTTACCAGTCTTTAAATGTTTAGTGTTGTCATTCCAAAACCCAAAGACATTCAGTTCAATATGATGTAAAACAGAGAAAAAGTATATATTACAACCCTTAAATGGGCAATCACATTTAAATAATCTGTTATCAAATCCATTATATACCCATAGTATGTGGTTAATTTACCCACATTACACATTAATACACCCCTATTTCAGTATACACCACTGTTACCCGTATTATACCCATATTATACCCACTGTTATTTCACCTATGTAACACTGTTATTAGGCCAATATTACACCCATGCAACACTGATATTACACCATATTACATTTTATTTACACTATTATTACACCCATTTTTCACATGGACACAGCCTGTCAAATGACTATCCCTCAGGATACAAAAAACCTTTAAGGGTTAAGAGGCTTAAACTGGATTTTGTGCCATTTTTGCATTAAACATTTTCTGTCGATGGAATATTAATGCCCCCTAAGTCGTCACTCAATATCTCAAACATGTGTTTAAATGTTGTCTGATGTAGCGGCTGTCAGTCATTTCTGCTGGCAGAGAAACAGCATTGATCGACTTGTTGCCCCGTCTTTTTATTGAGTTGTACGTCTCAGGGTGTTTTTCTTCCTCGCAGGTTCCTTCTGTTTGAGTCTTTTTCTTTTCATGATGTAGGGAGTGGTTGTTCGCTTGTTCAGTACAGTTGTTCTTGCTTGTGGTCCACACTGTCAAAAGAGATGAAGCTTGACTACCATTTTTTGCCCGGCAGCTACATCAACAACCAATTAGAGCAAATGGGATTTGGGTCATGGGAGACAAAAGAGAGATGGGGTGAGGGAAGAGGTGAGAAATATTCCTGATGATTTATCGTATCTCCCCTTCTCGGTCATGCTGTCAGTCTCAGCAAAATGATGCTAAATCTGGTGGAAAAAGATTAACACTTGCTTTTCCAGGCCTAGTAAAGTCCTTAAGTGACTATTATACAACAAATAGGGGCAGTGTAAGTCAGTTGTTACACTTAAAATGATTATAAATATTTTCAAGCATTATCCTCAGCTGGACATTAATTTGGGTGTCTTGACAAGGGGCGGGGCATCTCTAAGCAGTTGACTAATCACAACAGAGCCGGCCAGCTAACCAATCAGAGCAGACTGGGCTCTGGTTTCAGACAGAGGGTGAAAAGAGGTGCTGCAGCACAGGCAGAATGAGAAGAATAAAGAGCTTTTTGAACATAAAACACAGAGACATGTCACAGTAGAGGCATTATGTAATGACATTATATTTCAAGATATTCTTCTACCCAGAACATTTAATAAAACAGGGCATGTTTAGTCTCGTGTCTAAGGATTATGTTTGTATCCATTTATTTACATCAAATGAATCCAATGCCAGTGCAACATTTTTGTATGTACTTTAATTAACTGTTGGTAGTCCTAACACCTACACACAAACAAACACACTTTATATTAGAGTGCTAGCAGCTCCTGTGATACTCATTAACAATTTATGAATACCACCATTCAGTTTTGCTCTGAGCATAACATTCAAAGTCGTGTTCAATTATTGATCAGCTCTGTTGATAGACATCTCATTTATCTGACAGTAGAGCTGGTTCCCCCTGGGTGCTGTAGGTAAGGCTAAGAGCAAACACACACACACACACACACACACACACACACACACACACACACACACACACACACACACGCACACGCACACGCACACACACACACACACACACATGAATCAAATACACATACCTCTAAACTCTGTACAAAGTAAGACATAATTACACCAAGAAGCTATGTTTCCTCCAGATAGCCTGTCTCACTTTCTTTTGTACAGAATTCAGCACAAAATGTCCATATATCAATTGATATCATGATGAAAGCTCAGACCATATAAACTAGACGCTCTGGCTTTAAATCTGACCACGGACAAATCAAAATGTCTAAAATCAAGCGTCCTTCTATTATTATCTTTCAAATTCATACATTGCCCATTAAATCTCCCTTTGTGATGCTACTATCTCATCATGAATACATCTCGTAGCACAAGTGGTATCTGGGCAGAGCTCTAATACTCCCAGCAGCATGGGTGGCAAACATATAGAAAAACAATCTTACAGATTATAATTGTATTATTAATAACCAGCCCAGTCCTAAATACAGTAGATCAAATCTCGCTTTTTCAATGTTGTGTATGAAAATCCCAGGAAAGTCTGCAGCAGCACTATTATCACCGATTAACCATAATAAGAACAACGAAGACAAAACTCACAAGAAGAAAAGGCATTTCAAAATAAAACCGGAAACCAAAACTAAGATCATGACAGGAATTGGTATTTGTAATATGTATAATCTGTGGCAGCCCCGAAGCTCTGGAACTCCCTCCCCCAATACCTCCGTGAGTCTGAGTCCCTCACCCTGTTCCAGTCCCGCCTCAAAACCCACCTCTTCAACTCTGTATCCATAAGCCCCCCCCCCTCTCAATCAACTTCCTCCTGACTGCTTTTCTGTTTTGTTTTGGCTTTGTTTTTGTTTTGTTTGTCTACCCTCCCTCCCAAATGTAAAGCGTCTTTGGGTTCAAGAAAAAAAGCGCTGTAGAAAAAATAAAATAAAATATATTATAAAGATGACAGTTTAGGATGTTATTTGTCCTAGGTTAATTTTTTTTCTGCGGAGGATGTGGGTTATTAACTTTCCCCCGTGTAACATCTCTTCTGCCACCCTCTCTTTCTTCTTCACGTCTTTCTTCAGTAAGGTCATGTGTTTCCACCCCTGGTCTGACGTCACCCTCCCTCTCATGAAAAAGCAAGAGGTTGTCAAGGTGATTGACAAGTGGGCAGAGCTCGTTGAGGAACTAGGCGCCACGTACCCCTGGGTTCAGGTAAGACACACACACACACACACACACACACACACACACACACACACACACACACACACACACACACACACACACACACACACACACACACACACACACACACACACACACACACACACACACACACACACACACACACTCATATTAACACACTATTGATCCCTGTAAACTTTTCACCCCGCGCTCCAGCACCTCGGATCATTCCATTTTTCTTTTTAATATGTCGTGTGTTGGATTGGATCAAACTTTAATGATGCCTCTGGGTAAACGTACACATTCATTCAGCTGCAGGAAGAAAAGGGATGTCGATCAAATATGATCTAGAGGTTGGTCTCTGGCTTATTCCTGTCCCAGCTGGACTACGGTGATACCATTATAGATTTGCCTGTCCCACTGTTTTGGCCAAACTCGACCCACTCTACCATGCTGCACTGCGTTATATATCAAATGCACCCTATAGGACTCATCATTGCAAACTGTATAGCCTCAATGGATGGTCCTCACTTACTATGCGTAGGATGCAGCATTGGTTTTTATTAATGTATAAAGCCATTTTAGGAAAGCTTCCACTGTACATATGTGCCAGATTTGCCCCAGTTTGTGACTCTTACAACCTCAGATCCAGTGCCTGGATACGGGTCCAGGTACTGAGGCTGGGAAAAGGAGTCTTTTTCATTACGGTCCTTGGTCTTGGAATGACCTTCAATCACGCCTCAAACTGAGGGCACTTGTCCCAATAGCCTGTTTTAAATTGAAGTTGTCTGAGGTCCTTACCACCAGCTGCTCTTGCAGTAATAAGTAGTGTACCTTTCTTACCGTCCCAAATGTGCACAATGTTGTGACTGCTTTTCGCTTTTGTGTTTATTTGGTTGTGTTCTCTGTATTTTATATGTCTGTGTTGTGTGTAAAAATGTGTAACGCTGCTGCCTTCTTGGCCAGGTCAGCATTGTAAATGAGATTTTATCTCAATGCTTTTTATCTGGTTAAATAAAGGTTAAATACATTTTAAAAAAAAGACATTGTATAAAGTATAAAGGTTGATATTCTAACTGAATTCAGAAAAATCCGGGTTTGTTTTGTTCATTGTGTCCAATTGCACCAAATACTACTCTACACATGGCTCCCATAAGCCATGACTGTGGAATTGACACACTATAGAGTTGTAAAAGCATGAATAAAAACTATTTTCACTATCAAGTAAAGCAAAATCCCAAACTAAATCGATTTCTATTTCTTAAAATATCTGGTTGCTCCGTAGATCATATTTTAACTTCCAACCTTAATGCTCTGAAGGACTTCTTTCCAATTTATTTGGTTAACATTAACTTTTTTAACTGTATTATTAAATGTGTGTAGGATAATAAGACTAGGATTTATTTTTGGGGTTTATTTCAGCATATGGCCAGGGTTAGGGTAAGGGAGTCTGCACACCATTACAACTGGTGTCTGGAAGAGTTGACATTCTTACAAACCAACCCAATATGGCTCTAGAAATACCTCATGTTGATATTTCTGACCCACCTCTGATGGTGATAGATGATGGTAGCTTATTGTAATTTTTCTTACATAACTGCAAGTCAAAATTCCTTTCTGAAATCTAAAACTGAGTGTTTTCAGGGCAAGCCACTGAATCTTAGGATCCCTAAAAAGTCTTCTTTAACAGATAAATGCATGCATGGCCGCAGGGAAGTTGCAACAGTGTTAACTAAAGTTCAGCACCAAGGACAGCACCGTGCTCCCTGTCTCCATCAGCAGAGGATTTGCTCTGTTCAAAAGTCCTGGTGTGCTTTTCAATATGCCAACATATTCTTAACTTCACATGTGTGCTAACGGTCCAGCCCTAAAGACATGTGTCGGTTTTGAGATTTCGTCAAATGCTGTTGCCATGGTAACACAATGCTCGCCATGAAACACGGTTTTCTCATAACTCCAGTTAACATGCTCCCAACGGCCCAAAACTTCACAGGTTTGATAAGGATGCAGCCCTCAACACATCTAGGCATATTATGGGGTGTCATCAAATGCCGTTGCCATGGCGACATATCTCTCGCCATCAAACACAATGTTTATGATACTGCTGTAACTTCCATGTACGTTTTCCGATCGGCCTGAAACTTCCCACGTTTGCCAACGGCCGAGTACTCGAGACACCTATGTGACACGTCTACGTGCGGACAACAGCCTGCGGAGCGTCGAAGACCCGCTCAACGCTGCTTGCAGCTTTAATTATTATTATTTTTGTATTACCCCTGTTATTGAAAATGCTCTCCTTTCCATATTTGTAGTTGTTTTGACTTGCTTTGCCTAAACTCTGAATTTCTCTTATCTTTATATTTTTTTAGATCTTTGAGAATAAAGGAGCTATGATGGGCTGTTCAAATCCACACCCTCACTGTCAGGTTGGTAAATGCGCACATGCATGAACACATCATTAGACACATGTAAATGTGAAAAACACAGAAATAAATGAAATGTCCCCGAAGTGAGAATTATGTTAGGAACACACACATACATTAACACTCTCTCAGCAGACACTTCTTTCAAGACGTCTACTCTGGACATGCAGCACTAACATGAGCTAATAGAAACTTTTTATCATACAGGCACAACAGGATTTGTGTCATTGGTCCAATTTGCACGTATAAGATGCTGGCTTTTTACATACACTGCCAAATGAAGTTGAGTGTGTTAAAACAAATTTGCATAACAAGTTTTTATCCAGACGGGTCTCGACACAGAAGCTGTTAATTGACTCCCAATTACCGTGAGCTTTTATCACGTTTTTGTGGAAGTGTGAGATTGCTTTTGTCATCTTTTTGTGGTTTATTTTAATTCACATACATGTTAGTTTTTCTCTTGTCTTTTACGAACACCTCAGAGAAGGAGAGTTGCATTTCCTGTCAAACGTTCACCTGCTTGTTGAGAACACGCACAATCAGGAGGGAGAACAACAAAAACAGAAGAGTTGTTTGTGTAGACAGACGGATTTGTTGAATTTTAAACAACTACAGTTTTGCCAAAATTGTCAAAATAATGTGAGCCCATCAGAAACAGTAATCACTCTTTTCAGCCTGAGGGCAATACACAAGTTATTTGAAATAGTCATTACCTGGCCGAGACATTCATGTGAAAGGACACTGATTTAAGGGGAAAAGTTCTATGGTCATTATAAATAAATAAATAAACAAACCAAGGAAAAACGTTCCAACCTCAGTCATATTTTTGTATTATTCAAGTCATATTTTCGAATGGTTTATGTCTGAAATGGACCAAAGGGTCCTGAAATACTGAGTGAGAACTTGTAGCTGGAGAAGTGCCAGTTTGAGTCTTGGTACTCCTGAGGTGTCCTAGAGAAGAATATGTCTTTATTGTCATCATACCAAGTACAACGGAATTTCTTTGGCAACTCTCACTGCAGTAAAAGAGTAGAGCAAGGCACCGAACCCTCAACTGCTCCCCTTTAATAGTAAAATAACAGAGAGAAAAACTGATTTTCTCTCAGGCTTAATAAAAGTTGATGTCTATTCTTATTTTTATAAACTAGCGACCTGGCGGACGTGACAGTCCAAAAACAGAAACAACCACTAAAATCCTATTTCAACTAGAAAACCCAATCAGAGTAAATCCCCGGTAGCATTAGCAGGATCACTGATCTAGCTTTGGTTGCTTCCTCCGTAGAGTTTCTCAGATATCATTACTGCAGTGCAATTCAATAAGGAAGAAATACTACCCATTCTAAGGCTGTTCAATGAATATTAACAGCAGAGGGCAGTATATGACCTCACAATGACATGGTTTTAACAGAGAATCATTAGGTACTTCAGAAAGATACCATGAAAAGTAGTTTCAAATACAACTACTGAAAACACAGAAACGTTCTGATGAAAACTAAGTTTAAAGCGCTTTTTGATATTTCTATTCAGTTGCCATCAAAGTTTGAACAAAATAAATATGTTCTTTGTCGTCACATACACTTTGAAATCATTTTCAGAGACAAAATCAAACCTCCACCAAGTCTGTGATGAAACTTTAAAAAAAGTTTTAGCAGGTTTTTTTTGGTCTGTTTCCTGCATTCCAGATTTCCCTCGCTTAAGACATCAAAGTCCAGGAAAAGTAGAGTAAATGTGTACAGCTAGACTTCCCCTGCAGGCAAAAAACCGAGAAGAAGCATTGGTCTAAAACTTTGAAGAATAACGATCAGAAAATGTTAATCACGGTCTGCAGGCGGCGTTGCTTTTGATGAATCCAGTCCCACAGGAACAGAGCTGTATGCATTTTCATGTACGTGGGGAAAGGAAAAACTTTAAACGCCTCTAGAATAGTAATATTTCTTTCTCACGTAAGTAATCCGATTCTGTGAACTGCGCCGGAATTAGTTTGAAAACATTTGCCTCCCAGGAGCGGACGGATATTGAGTTGGTATTTACTCCCTAAGTATGTATTTATCTGGTGGGAATAGAGCTTATACTGTACTTTGCTTTTCTCTTGTGTTATTATGTTTGCTTTTCTCCGTGTTTACGAAAACACAGGTGTACAAATATAGCTAGAGTCGGCTCCAGATGTTGACAGGCGTGCAAATATATCCACACACACACATAACTCTGCCTGGAGGCGCGCAGATGTGCAGTATTTACACATACAGTTCACACACTAACCTTCCCTGTTTCTCTCTCTCTGTCTTTGTAAGATCACGATCATAAAAATGGTGCAGCCCTTAGCTAATATTTAGAAGTCATTAATATTAAAACCACGCTCTCAGTTTCTGCTCCCATTGCAGTAATTGTGTACAGAACCTTACCGAGGGCAAACAAATGCAGACAAACATTAGTAATTCCCATGTTTTTAAATGTTTCATCTTTATTGCATTTGCTTTATTACATATCAATTATTAATCATGACCCAGCATGGTACAGTTATGACATGTACCCTAAAGGCAAGTTCAGCAGGTCTACAATTAAAATGATGAAGCTTCTTGATCATCAAAAATATGTTTTTTTTTACAATTTTCCCCACGAGTTAAGACAGATTTATTTTCCTGTTTAAAAAAAAAAAAATTTCATAGGAGACACAGTGTGGTTCCCACATTGCATTCTGGGTGTTAAAGTGGAGGAGTGTTAATCAGAAAACTATTTGCCATGCAGCCTGAAGCAGTGCTCCTTAAAGCAGCAGTTCATGCAATGGAGTGTTATCATTGGAAAACCTGCTGACACAAATATGCCTTCTTTCAGTCAAACTCTTCTTTAAAGCTCTCTTAACAATTGAACATATTCCCTGGTAGTGTTTTACATGAATGTACAAAATACACAACGAGAGGCAAAAATAAAGACTTTTCTCAATTATCAACGCACACAGAATGCTCCTCGGTGCAGAAATAACTCATCACTATTCTGGTGTGCTGTCACTCATCAGAGAATATGTAAATACATCCCATTCAAAGTGATATCTCAGGTCTGATTTATTATGCATCAGTGAGCCATTTAGCATTCCTTCCCTGCTTTTACAGCCATTCAAATATCATAAAGTGAAAACACGAATACACCTTAATGTCCATAAAGAGCTTTCTGAATCCAGTGAAAGTACATATACGTAGCCTAAAAGGGTCTCTTATCCATAAAAATGAACTTTAGAGATGGATGTTTTCGTGAATGAAATGACATCCTATCCGTCTAAGACTATCAACATCTTAGTTTTCTCTAGTTAGAGTTTCCTTTTAGAATATCATTCTTAAGCAGAATGACAGCTGGTGGCTGATGAGAGGAACCTTTCAACAATGTGTTAGTAAGGCATCAAAATAGCTGCCTTTTTAGAGATGTTATTAATCATAATCAGGAAGCTGGTGGCTGACGGGCAAACGCCCTACAACGGCCCAATACACTTGCATGAGGAGAAAGGTGCTGCATTTCAATGTTTGGATTGGTTAGCTAGCTAGCTTACAGCAGATCTGCAATAATATCTTAGGAAATCATGCAATAACATTGTTTAAATAAACCAGTATAACTTACGTTTTAAGTTTCCAGTGATTGTTGGCCAACTTTGTAATCCATGAACGTCAAATAGTGCTACGGTCCCAGCAGTATGCATACTTTTTGTTTGTCCCTTTTGCCGTTGTGTTGCGAGCTTCTTACTGCGTTTTTTTATTTGCAGTGCTTCGTATATCCAGTGTTTTGTTATTGCAGCACTTTTAGTTAACACTGCGCATGTGTTGTCTAGTTGGTGAAAATGTTTCTTTATTTGCATGTGTTTTGTCACATTTGCATTGTTTTTGAGAGTACAGCCCGTTTCTCTTAATATAAGTATTTAGGGTGGCTTGAGTTCGTCTGCCACCGTCAGTTTCTGTCTCTATGAACACACGGGAGAGTGCTCTGACATTTTCTGTCATCATATTAAGAATGACATTTACCATGGCAGTGTTTGTTAACATGGTTAACCAGTGACTTACAGGATATACAGATGATGAGAGGGGAAGTAACTGGTGTATATTCTAGGGATTGATGATGGGGGAATTTTTTTTAGAACAGAACACAATCGAGTTATTGCAAACGGTTGGGAAACCACACAACTTGTACACCATCATTTACTCAATATTTAAACCAGCACCATTCAGTAATCTTGCAACCTTGGTGCTATCTAGGAAAGTAACATCATTAACAGAGAACTTTGCAGAATGCACAAAGGAAGTAAACAATAGCAGCACGATGGCGTATAATTCAGTTATATGACATGTGCCGTGCCCTAAAGGCAAGGCCGCGGACACTTGTCCAATTATAAAAGGTCCTTGATCATTGCCACAGAATATTTTTTTGGGTCCAGCTGGATTTGAACTTTTCGGGTTCCAACATTTTTGGCAAAAATGCCCAAAATATGGTTCCAGGCTGTTGAAAAAGATATATTTGAGGGTAAAATACAAAGAGCAAGAATCCCTGGCCTGCAAGCATCACAGGAGTTGTATTGGAGAGGGTATCAGCCTTAAGTTGTTCTGAAAACAGATCACAAAGGACCTCTGATGTACAATCAGCTCCTGTGCTTGAAAAGAAAAAGGCTCGACAGTGCCATTACTTCCCAATGACACTTGTCATTGAATCTGCCGGTGCCCTGCTAGCACTCCTCTATCTAGAATGTACTAACATACTGTATTAGAGTATGGTGTGCCAACTGTTCAGCAACAGATGGAAAAGAGCTCTCCAGAGAGTCATAAACAGACCCCAGAAAAATAATTGGACTTCGCCTGCCCTCACTGGAAGACATCTTCAGAGCCAGCAGCCTTCTGAAGGATGCAGCTCACCCCCCATCTTCATCTCTGCTCTGCTGCCATCTGGAAGCGCTACAGGGCGTTAAAGAGCCGCGGTCGCAGGCGCAGAAGACTGCTACTACCCAGTGGTGTAGTGGGGATTTTTTTACTGGGGGGACGCTATTTTAATTAGGTCATCCCAAACAATGCCACACAAGTGCGCACGCGCGCAGTGAACTCAAAAAACGGGCAGACAAGTCCACAGAAACTACCGGTATGCTTAGTCCTACTTTAGTTACTGTAGCCTACTGCAAAAGCAGACGGCGCTGCGCTCAACACACACACAGACTCAACACCATGGACACACTGGCACAAAAGTTACATAAACAATGTATAGGCCTAAATTACATAAACTACAGTATTGCAACTAAGCAGACCTCTCTCTCTCTCAATCTATTTAAAACTCATAACAAACAAACACAATCCTAAAATTAATTTATTAAATAAACGAAACGACAAATATAGCCTACTTATGCAAACAACATTGAATCTGGACTTGAAATTATTCTGATTAGGCCTAGACTACATTGCAAATAAGCAGACAGCGCTGCTTTTCACACACACACACACACACACACACACACACACACACACACACACACACACACACACACACACACACACACACACACACACACACACACACACACACACACACACACACACACACACACACACACACACACACACACACACACACACACACACACACACACACACACACACACACACACACACACACACACACAGCGTTTTGAAGACTGATAAATCCGAAAAGGATGAACAAACCAGCCCAGTTTCCCAGCTTTGCAGTCTATGCACGGGTATGCCTCTTGTTTCCTCCGCCACATCTCCTCCGTCCATACCTCTGGGAAAGGTGAGTTTGAGCTAGCCAGGGAAACGTTGCTAGCGCAGCTAACGTTGACGTTAGTGCTAGCATTATCCACGTCTTTAGGCGGCTCTTCTGATGATGTATTACTAGTAGCTTCACTTGTAGCTTCGGTGCTGCTAGCTTCTTTCTTCTTGTGAATTATATTCTTTTTAGAAAATAAGTCAAGTAAAACATGTTTGCCTGCCATTATAGAGCTTTTTCGTTAGCGTTCTTGAGGGAAAGAGCTGCCGCAAAATCGGCGGGCGGCGAGCTGGTTCGCCGTGGGTGTGTGACTGACACACCCCCAGCTCGCCGCGGGTTCCCGAGCCTGATGACGAATCATAATTCTTTAAGGAAATCTTTTTTATTTCGTATTATAATTACTGTGAAATGTATTATGTTTTTGTCATTATTACAACAAATACACTCTTGCAACTGATAACACTGGCAATTATTTTATATTTATTAGACTATTTAAAAAAAGATCATGCTCCAAATAAGTGGGGGTACGGTGTACCCCCGCGTCCAACGCCCACTACACCACTGCTCCTACCCTGAGCCCTCGAAGAACTGAACTCCAAGAAACAAAATGGGTGTGTGGGTGTGTGTGTGTGTGTGTGTGGTGTGTGTGTGTGTGTGTGTGTGTGTGTGTGTGTGTGTGTGTGTGTGTGTGTGTGTGTGTGTGTGTGTGTGTGTGTGTGTGTGTGTGTGTGTGTGTGTGTGTGTGTGTGTGTGTGTGTGTGTGTGTGTGTGGTGTGTGTGTGTGTGTGTGTGTGTGTGTGTGTGTGTGTGTGTGTGTGTGTTAGTGTTAGTGTTAGTGTTAGTGTGTGGTGGCAATTTTCGTTCTACAATTTGCAATGAAAATAGAGAAATTATTTTCTTCCAAGTTGCAATAATATTAAAATGGTATTATTAATGTAAATTGGATTTGAAATTCGAAGACTAGGCATAAGGTTCTTCTCAATGACATTAAATAACATGTATTATTGTGTCTGAGGGTTTGGTTTTGGTCAGATTTGACTGATAAGCTAACCATGCATCAACTGTCAACATAAATTCTGATTGGTGTGTTGAGCCCCGCCCCCGCCCACTTTTAGACCAGTGACACAATGAGAAACAGAAAACCTCCCAATATGTATCATGTGAAATAGCCACAGCCCTTACTATTTTGGCAGAAATAGGACCATTATGCTTTCGATAAGAAACTGATGGAGAAAATGATGTTGCCTAACGACACTGTGCTGTTCGCTGCAATGAAGTACCTATCTCAATTACTTCTTAGTGTCTTCGCGTTGATTCTCACCAAATTGAAATAAATGAAAGCCAGCGACTGCAGGGTAAAACCCATTTATCAATCTAAAAAGCTTAGAAAGGACAAATGAAACCCAGAAATCTTTGCACCTGTGAAACACTTATTGATGGAATAGTGTTGATGAATAATCCCATCAAATCACAGATCTAATGAGGTTATGGAACCAGGGCAGACTAGGGAAAGGTCCTCAGATTCCCTGTTCGCCCTTTCCATTTCTACACAGAGAGAAGTACACAGTAGTTCCAGTAAACATCCACTGATAAATTGCTATGTTAACAACCTCATGATAACCTCATATTCTGTGTTTAGTTTAGAAAAAGGTAAATGTGTGCATTTTATTATAAAGTTGCGTATATTTACAGACTGTTGCAAAAACTAAGAAGCTTATAAAAATCAGGTTTAAAACACAATTAAAGATGTTTGGAGTTTTATTTTAGTTATTAATTTAAATTTGTTGTCAAAGAGACGCTGATTTGAAACCGTTGTCACATACAGTTACGGCATTTCCTGTTTCTGCCGGAGAGAGGGGAGGCCGTCCCAAAGCTTGCCGCTGTATTTACTCCTTCCATCTGACAGGAGGGAGCCTCGTTGAGCTGCGAGTGTCACTCCACGGTATTCACTCCGTCACGGAGGGGGAGTGTGTAGGGTGTAGGGCGTGGTTTGGGATTGGGCCTAAGACTCAATGGTTTTCTTCTATGTCTCATCTTCATCATCTTCTTCCTGCTTCCTGTGACATTGTAGGTGTGGGCCAGCAACTTCCTGCCTAATGAGCCGGCTCTGTCAGACCGCTGCCAGAGAGCCTACTATCAGAAACATGGAGAACCGCTGCTGCTTCAATACGCCAGACAAGAAGCTGAGAAAAAGGTACGGCTATGCACTTATGAACACGAGGTCAAATAAGCTTCATTTTCCCTCGGGGAAACTTGTAATTTATTACTTCTTAGTTTAACCTAGTTCTACCTAAGTTTGGGTTGTTGGAAACGTTGAGAATGTGTGCATTTAAGGGTGAAAATATTATTTTGTTCTAGAATAGACATGTTGTATCTGTCATTTACCGTTATAACAGTGGATTTGAGTAAGTAAGCATTTTATTTTTAGTGTCGAGGATTTCCAGCTTAAAAATGCTTTTTGATTTCATTTCCTTAAATCAAGAGTATGTAGCTTCCATTACAGTATTTGTTTGTTCAAATTAATGCTAAAGCAATGTTAAACATTTAGTCTTAGGAATTTGGATTGATTGACCCAGAAAATCTCTTCTCTGACCTATGCATTATGGGAAAAGAAGCAACAAATGTGGCATCCAAGACTATAGAGGTCAGACACAATGAATCAAACAATAATGCATGCCTCTAAAGCGCATGTGATTCAATGTAGTGCTTATTTGGAACTGCCCAATGGAAAAAACTGGCAAAGATTTGGATTAGATTACCTAATTACAAAATGGTGATATCATACTTCACAATTATTATCCTACTTAGGCTTAGGGTAAGGGTTAGGGTTCATACTTTTCTTAACAGAACGTTTCCTCTCCCACCCTTTCCCATCATGCTTCTCTCTTTCTCTTACTTTCCTTTTTCCCCATCAGCATACTCCCTGTCTTTCAGCCAGTGAAGCATGTCATTGGACAGCATAGTTGCTCATTAGCATAATGCTGCGGCATCCATCTTAAACCTGCAAGAGGATTAGGAAAACAAACTGTGTGTTTGTGTGTGTGTCAGTGTGTGTGTGTGTGTGTGTGTGTGTGTGTGTGTGTGTGTGTGTGTGTGTGTGTGTGTGTGTGTGTGTGTGTGTGTGTGTGTGTGTGTGTGTGTGTGTGTGTGTGTGTGTGTGTGTGTGTGTGTGTGTGTGTGTGTTGTGTGTGTGTGTGTGTGTGTGTGTGTGTGTGTGTGTGTGTGTGTGTGTGTGTGTGTGTGTGTGGACAGCGGTAACCATTGGAGACGGGGTCTAGTGCATTAAGCATGTTGGCAAAGTCTAATTAGTGAGAAGACATTTGGTGGAAACCGCCAACAGGAGAATTAAACTTGACAAGGCCATGACTTCTTTGCCACCTGGAGCTGTAGAGAGATGGCTCACTTATGCTGCTTTATTATTAAATATGATTCATCTCTCAGGTTATGTTCACAGCTAAAATCCTGTTTTAATACCGGTTACGCTTGTTTTTATCTTGTCCTAATGAAATGAACCTTCAGAAATGTATCACCTTGGCGTTCCACCTTTACGTTGTCCTTTAACTTTAAGTAGTAATGAATAGATTTGATCTCACTTTAATATTTCCTTCTTTACAATTACAAGTTGTTAAAAAATAATAGAAAGCCTTCATGAAATGAACTTTATAGCATTTTTTGGGGGGATTGTTATGCATACGAATGTCTTGAAAAACAGACAGTAATAAACTTCTTGGCATTTTCACATATTGCTTGATAGGAAATATGAAGTTGTCTCAACAAAAGACATTTATAAATCATATTCTTACTGCCTTACTTTTCAAAACCTTTAAAGTTAAGAAAGTTTAAAAATATATAAACGCAATACTTTAATTGAAGCCTAAACTCTTTTTTTCCATATTTGGTAAAAAAAATAGGGAATGGGAAACATTAGTTATTTTGCTTTTTTGTCGAGTCAGAAAGCTAAATTATTACCACCTTTTTTAATTTGTACGTAGACCTTGCAGTAAAAACGACATGCTTTGGTTTGACTTGGGCTTGTGTGCTAGACTACTTTTTAGCCAGTGGAGCATCCAGACTTCTTTTCACACAAGATAGTTTATTACACAACTATAAGAGTACAATTCATTATAACACCAAAAGAACGTGGGGGCGAATCCTTTCCTGTTTCTATTTGTACTTAATTGTTCAATATCCTTCAACTAATCACAGTCCTTATTTCTTGCAGCCTAGCCACACAAAAGGAACAAAAAGACTAAAGTAAGAGTGGAAGGAGACAAGTAAGGACAGAAACCGGAGTCACCCGGAGAGACGTGGAGGTTAGAAGGGAAAGAGAAATCGTACTGCCACTGATTCATTCAGGGAATGAGCTGGTGCCAATTCTACTGGGGGTGGTTGGTGTGTGTGTGTGTGTGTGTGTGTGTGTGTGTGTGTGTGTGTGTGTGTGTGTGTGTGTGTGTGTGTGTGTGTGGTGTGTGTGTGTGTGTGTGTGTGTGTGTGTGTGTGTGTGTGTGTGTGTGTGTGTGTGTGTGTGTGTGTGTGTGTGTGTGTGTGTGTGTGTGTGTGTGTGTGTGTGTGTGTGTAATAGAGGATCGTATTAAGAGTAGACACTTGAATCTCCTAGCTGCTCATGGGGACTGACCTTTATAAAACCAAAGTGGAGACACAAGTGTGTGTAGGTGTGTGTGTTTTCAAGGATGCCTTAAACGACCTGTACTTGTTTGGTGTGTGTGTGCTTTTCTCTTTTCGCTACTGTCTCTCTGACCCGAGGTTAGGACCGTAAATTGGCACACTGCAGTGTTTGGAGGAGTTGGAATTGGGCTTCGGCTCCTTGGTGACACTCTTGACATTGAAACAAAAACTTTCCGAGCTAATTTAATCAAACTCTTTGGGACTTGTAGTCTGCAAGTTGTCGGATTTAGGACATCCTCCACTCTCTTTCTCTTCCCTCTTCCTCTCTCAGTCTGGCTCCTCTATCCTTGTCCGAAATGGTTTTTTCTATCTTCATTCTGCTTCTTTATAATCCTGTTTAAAGGCAGCCGAGGACGAATACGCCGAAAGAAAAAGTACGAAGAAGGTTGAAATCGTGACCCAAAATAAAATTGTTAGGAGGAAGTTTAATATCTCAAACCAATGATTTTGACCAAATTGTTTCACTAAATACCTAACAATCACATTTTAATTTCCTGCTAATTTCTCTTCCTTTCCAAACATTTGGAGAAGTGGAGGCTTCAGTCAGTGTTATTGTACCAGGCTCTAATATACTGCAAGTGCATTTCATTAAGACTTTGGGAGTCAGTTAGATTACTCTGGGTTTTCCTTCACAGTTATCAAACACCACAGCATTCTCTGTAAAGGGCCTTAATGATGCACTAATGCCTGGACCCATGTGTTCAAACCTCAGGGAGATGCATGGCTTCGGATGCCCTAACCATCTCTATGCTTAGAATCTCTCGTTACTGCCAAACTAGTTTTTTGTAATTGTTTAAAAAATCAAATAATTTTTCATTCTACTCACACTCAACAGCACATGTTATCAAATCAGACTGGTGCACTGCATGATAAGAAGGGAAATGTAAAAAAATGAAGAAAACTATAAAAAGTTAAAAATAGAAAAACATCAAAGAAAAAGATTGAGAGATTGTCTATCTGGTTTTAAGGGATTATTATGACACTCACTGACTCACACACACACACACACACACACACACACACACACACACACACACACACACACACACACACACACACACACACACACACACACACACCTAATCTATTTCTTATGAATGTTAAAACCAAGGTCAGGTCATGTTTGTGCAGACTCACCAGCTTGTTAAACCTCAGCTTCTGACACATTCTGCATTCAAACCGTTTATGATAATAAGGCTTCTGCCTGAACTGCCTGTCCTTACAATTTGCTTCATGTTGTTTTGGTCCACATAAATGTTATGAGATGAGATATTATTAATATGCCGTAACGGTCTTAGGCCAGCCGTCCTTTTTAATGTGGAATACAACATGATCAGTGGATGAAATGACTGCTGGCTCTGAAACCACTTTATGAACTTACATTCACTTAAGAGATGTGTTAAATCAGATTTTGACTTCTAAAATGACATTTGTTAAAGACTATGCCCGTAGTGAAGCTTTTCTCAACATTCAATTTAATTTAAATGTCGTCTCTTCTCCAGGAGCGGGTGGTGGTAGAGAGTTCTGATTGGCTGGCGGTGGTTCCATACTGGGCGACATGGCCCTACCAGACGCTGTTGTTGCCGCGGCGACATGTCCTCAGGATCAATGACCTGACAACAGAGGAAAGGGGGGGTGAGTGTGACGATACTGTCTGAGTGACTGAGAGAGTGTTAAGGCAATTAAGAGCAGTTTAAGATGACTCAGCGTCTCACTGGGGAACCTGCAGTCTGAGTTCCTCTCTAAGGGGGCTTGCTGGGGGGGTGTGTGTGTGTGTATAATGTTTTATGTTTATTAATAGCAGAGGAAACGTATTCTACCTTCTGTTCGTGGAGTGGTGTTTACGGTGGTTCCATTTCCATAGAACTATGGGAATAACACATACAATTAAAACTGCGGTCGCACTTGTGCGCGCAGTGATGAGCGGGCCCTCGCGTCCTTGCGCCTGTCGGGGAGGGTAGCCGGTCGTCCCGGTGTCAAGCAGACGCACGCGAGTCCTGGGAAATGAGCCGTTTCGCATTTCTATAATTTTCGCGTCCTGGGTTGCATTCCAATAGTCCATTTAGCTTAGGAACCTTCCTAACGGAGTGAAATGACCCGGAAGTACGTCACTGGCAGCCATGTTAAGTGCCGTTCCAATTCTCCAAATGAAAGGAAAGGAGGTTTCAAACTTCCTTTATAACCTCCTTTAGCTTAGGAACCACTGGACCTCCCTAACCGAAAGGATAGGAGAAAATGCTGCCCCACAATGCATTGCAGCCGCAGCATTTGCCGTCACACGACAGTCGGCCGTTCACGGAAACAACCGATTATGACCGAGAAATGATATCATGAAAGTTACGGTGCTTATTAAGCATTTTAAAACGTATGTGGTAAGTTGCCAAAGTGCTTTTTTCTGAACGTTCATCAGTATTATAATCAAAAAGAGAAATATGAACGTTAGTTTTTACTGAAATGATCAAATAAAGTCAACATTTCACAGTCTTTACTGAGCTGTGCGGGGTTTGTTCAACTTTTAAAAGATGTTTGAATGGTGATATACACAGTGATAGATGTTAAGGACTAACGTTTATAATAAATACATTTGTATTGATTTTAAGATATTTTCATACAATCATACGTATTGGGATCATTTGTATTAATGTGGACCGGAGGGAGAGGGTGACAACGAGCATAAGTTTCACTTTCCTTTTTTATTTCAATTCTAACTTTGGTCCTGAAGAATATGTTTCTCTGTTGTCCACGTTCATAAAGCATAAAGCAACAGCATCAGAGCACGGTGCAGAGTCTCTAGATGAGTTTACAGTAGTCCCTCATTCTTATTAAACATCCATGTTGTAGTCCGCTGTATAGAAAACTGTAGTTTCCATAGTTTCCCCACAGCAGCAGACGCACATTCATGACGTCCGCTGGCGCATCATAAACACGTCGGATAGTGAAAGTGCATTCGGATTCTCTAAAGTACCGCGGTCTCTTCTCCTAAGTCCTTTTGAATTCTCCTATCCACTATCCCTTTAACCCCGTGACGTTTCACTCAGAGGTCAAGGAATAGGAGATAGGGTTAGAACTTAGGAGCTAATTTTTGGATTATCGGAACGCAACCCAGGTCCTCCGGCAGCGACCCGGAAACGGATGTCGGCGCGCCGTCTCGAAGGAAAACTAATTTCTCTAAAGGCTCGTCGAGGATCGATTATGGAGGAGGCTGTCTGGAGGAGCCGTAACCGAGGATACACTGAACTATTCTCCTGAGACGATTTCAGCCAACAGTGATGTTTAAAAGTGGTGTGACGCATGGCTGGACTTCTGTCAACGAAGCACAGCTCTGCAAACTGTTCCCGTTGTGATTATAAGTTATTTGAGATGATCAAATGTGCATCAGACTTTCTGCCCTTTACCGTTTGTTTACTCACTAATCACATGTCCCCTGGATGTTAGGCTATTTTTTTTTCAATACAACTGCTTTCATTGTGACACGATGTTTACAGTGAGAACAGCTGCTGAGGTCAGTGCAGAAAGCAGAACAGTGTGTATAATATATATTGCTCAATAATAAATGTAACAGGCCTACATGTCACACTTTATTTGTAGGCTTTAGGAGATATCTACAAATAAAGAGTAGGGTTAGGGTTAGGGAGTGTATAGGTGTCTTTTGTAATGAATATGCCGCCAGCAAAGGGCGTTGTTGGACTAACAGTGTGTGTGTGTGTGTGTGTGTGTGTGTGTGTGTGTGTGTGTGTGTGTGTGTGTGTGTGTGTGTGTGTGTGTGTGTGTGTGTGTGTGTGTGTGTGTGTGTGTGTGTGTGTGTGTGTGTGTGTGTGTGTGTGTGTGTGTGTGTGTGTGTGTGTGTGTGTGTGTGTGTGTGTGTGTGTGTGTGTGTGTGTGTGTGTGTGTGTGTGTGTGTGTGTTTGTGTGTGTGTGTGTGTGTGTGTGTGTGTGTGTGTGTGTGTGTGTGTGTGTGTGTGTGTGTGTGTGTGTGTGTGTGTGTGTGTGTGTGTGTGTGTGTGTGTGTGTGTGTATATGCCAGGCAGGTCTCAGTAGCTTATCTGACATATAATTGGTCAAAAATGGTACATTCTCCGTTAGCCTACGAGCTCCCCGTTTGAGCGAAGGACTATTCCTTCTCAATGCAGTCATTGGATATGCGCTGAAGTTGTCCTAGATTGGAATTTTTCCAATCATTCCTCTATGAGGAGTTCACAGAAATGTCCTTAAAATGCATGAGAAACGCACATTTTGTGAAATGACCCACTTTCTGGAGGGCGGGGCTGTCCGCAATCATAATAGCAATGTGCATACAGCGTTTCGTGAATATCGGAAAAACTATATGCGAGTAGTTTGGAGTAATTTGCGACATGTAAATCGTCAAAAATGGTGTATTCGCTGTTAGCTTGTGACCTCCACGATTGAGCTCTCAAAACATTTCTTCGCAATTTAGCATCATATTGGATAGGGGCTGAACTTGTCCTGGATTGGAATTTTTCCGATCATTTCCCCAGGAAGAGTTAGCAAAGATATGCTTAAAATGCATTAAAAACGCAAATCTTTCAAAATAGCCAACTTTCTCGGGGGCGGGGCTAATGAAATGCATTTGAAATATGTGTGCAATCATAATAGTAATGTGTATACAGCGTTTCGTGAATATGGGAAAAACTATATGCGAGTAATTTGGAGTAGTTTGGAGTGATTTGCGACATGTAAATGGTCAAAACTGGTGTATTAGCTGTTAGCTTACGACCTCCACGATGGTTAGCATCATATTGGATAGGGGCTGAACTTTTCCTGGATTGGAATTTTTCCGATCATTCCCCTAGGAGGAGTTGGCAAGAATGTGCTTAAAATGCATGAAAAACGAACATTTTTGAAAATGGCCGACTTTGTCGGGGGCGGGGCTAATAAAAGCCAATTTGAAATATGTCTGCAATCATAAGAGCAATGTGTATACAGTGTTTCGTGAATATCGGAATAACTATATCCGAGTAGTTTGGAGTAATTTGCGACATGTAAATCGTCAAAAATGGTGTATTAGCTGTTAGCTTACGACCTCCACGATTGATTTATCAAAAATGTAATCCGCAATTCTTCATGACATTGGCCAGGGGCTGAACCTGTCCTGCATTGGAATTTTTCCGATCATTCCCCTAGGAGGAGTTCACAAGAATGTGCTTAAAATGGCTGAAAAACGCACATTTTTGAAAATGGCCGACTTTCTGGGGGGCGGGGCTAATGGAAGGCAATTTGAAATATGTGTGCAATCATAATAGCAATGTGTATACTGCGTTTCGTGAATATCGGAATAACTATATCCGAGTAGTTTGGAGTAATTTGCGACATGTAAATCATCAAAAATGGTGTATTAGCTGTTAGCTTACGACCTCCACGAATGATTTTTCAAAAATGTGCTCTGCATTTAAGTATCATATTGGATACGGGCTGAACTTGTCCTGCATTGGAATTTTTACGATCATTCCCCTAGGAGGAGTTCGCAAGAATGTGCTAAAAATGCATGAAAAACGCAAATTTTTAAAAATGGCCGACTTCCTGGGGGGCGGGGCTAATGGAAGGCAATTTGAAATATGTGTGCAATCATAATAGCAATATGTATACAGCGTTTCGTGAATATCGGAATAACTATATCCGAGTAGTTTGGAGTAATTTGCGACATGTAAATCGTCAAAAATGGTGTATTCGCTGTTAGCTTATGACCTCGACGATTGAGCTATCAAAAATGTTATTCTCAATTTAGCATCATATTGGATAGGGGCTGAACTTGTGTTGGACTGGAATTTTTCCAATCATTCCCCTAGGAGGAGTTCGCAAGAATGTGCTTAAAATGCATGAAAAAGGCCCATCTTTCAAAATGGCCGACTTCCTGGGGGGCGGGGCTAATGGAATCTATTTACAAATATGTCCGCAATTCCATTAGGAATGTCTGTGCCAAAATTCGTGAAGTTCTGAGAAACGATATGTGACTACCACACAATAGGGGGCGCTAGTGAGCAGTTTTTTTGAAAGATTACGTTTTTTTTTTACATTCTTGAAAAGGTTGTGGGCTCTGACGTGTGTTCCAAGTTTTACGTCCGAAGCTCATTTTATGCTATCGCAATTTAAAAAAAATATATAGGCCACGCCCACATTCTGGATTTGTTACGACACTTTATATCTCAGTTCGTAGTCACCCCCAGAGTATGTGTAAAAAATAAATAAAAAGATTCGTCCATCCGTTCTTGAGTTATAAATTGGTGGTGTTTTTGGCGCCCCCTATAGTCCAAAATATAAATTATTTGGTGTGCCTATTCCCCAACACAGATTGAACCTATCTACCAAAATGTGTGATGTTTGGATATATTGTTGATGATTTATGAGCATTTATTTCTAAGCCCCGCCTTATTGCGTGTACGTTTTGATTGACGGCGGCAATATTTATCGTCCTAACATGCTCATTTTCTACGGTAATGTGTCTGACCCGCCACCGATGCTGTATACGAAGTTTGGTGTTGAAAAACTGAAAATTGAAATTTAAGTGAATATTTAACTGTTTTGAACATTATGCTAATTTAAATGTAAAAAAAGTAGGCGGAGCTTAGGGTTCCAAGAGGATTATTTGTAGAGCAGGTCCACCCGGATATGTGTGAAAAATTTCAGGTCATTTGGAGTTACGGTGCGACTTTGTACATTTATTCCGAAATGGATTTTTCATACCAAAGTCCACCAAAGTTGTTCTGGAAAACTGTCCGACACCTCAGGAGGGGGAAGCAGGGAACCATCCAAGCTGTGTACAGTAAGGATGGGACGTTGTTGACCTCAACTGATGGAGTGTTAGGGCGTTGGAAGGAACACTTTGAGGAACTCCTGAACCCGACAACTCCGCCCTCTATGTTAGAGGCAGAGCTGGAGTATGACGGGGGATCAACACCAATCTCCCGGGGGGAGGTCACTGAGGTCGTCAAACAACTCCACAGTGGCCCCGGGGGTGGATGAGATCCGCCCGGAAATGCTGAAGGCTCTGGGTGTTGAGGGACTGTCATGGTTGACACGTCTCATCAACGTTGCGTGGAAGTCGGAAACAGTACCGAAGGAGTGGCAGACCGGGGTGGTGGTTCCCCTTTTTAAAAAGGGGGATCAGAGGGTGTGTGCCAATTACAGAGGCATCACACTACTCAGCCTCCCCGGGAAAGTTTACTCTAAGGTACTCGAAAGGAGGGTCAGGCCGATTGTTGAACCTCAGATTGAGGAGGAACAATGCGGATTCCGTCCTGGTCGTGGAACGATGGATCAGCTTTTTACTCTCGCAAGGATCCTGGAGGGGGCCTGGGAGTACGCTTATCCGGTCTACATGTGTTTTGTAGACTTGGAGAAGGCGTATGACCGAGTTCCCAGGGAGTTACTGTGGGAGGTGCTGCGGGAGTATGGGGTGAGGGGGTCTCTACTCAGGGCCATCCAATCTCTGTACTCCCAAAGCGAGAGCTGTGTCCGGGTCCTCGGCAGTAAGTCGGACCCATTTCCGGTGAGGGTTGGCCTCCGCCAGGGCTGCGCTTTGTCACCAATCCTGTTTGTAATATACATGGATCGGATTTCGAGGCGTAGTCATGGGGGAGGGGGTCTGCAGTTCGGACTAAGATTGCACCACTGCTTTTTGCAGATGATGTGGTTCTAATGGCTTCATCGGTCTGCGACCTTCAGCACTCACTGGATCGGTTCGCAACCGAGTGTGAAGCGGCTGGGATGAGGATCAGCACCTCCAAATCTGAGGCCATGGTTTTCAGCAGGAAACCGATGGACTGTCCACTTCAAGTAGGGAATGAGTCCTTACCCCAAGTGAAGGAGTTCAAGTATCTCGGGGTCTTGTTCTCGAGTGAGGGAACAATGGAGCGTGAGATGGGCCGGAGAATCGGAGCAGCGGGGAACGGTACTGCAGTCGCTTTACCGCACCGTTGTGACGAAAAGGGAGCTGAGCCAGAAGGCAAAGCTCTCTGTCTACCGGGCCATTTTCGTTCCTACCCTCACCTATGGTCATGAAGGATGGGTCATGACCGAAAGAACGAGATCGCGGATACAAGCGGCCGAGATGGGTTTTCTCCGCAGGGTGGCTGGTGTCTCCCTTAGGGATAAGGTGAGAAGTTCGGTCATCAGGGAGGGACTCAGAGTTGAGCCGCTCCTCCTTCGCGTCGAAAGGAGCCAGTTGAGGTGGTTCGGGCACCTAGTTAGGATGCCACCTGGGCGCCTCCCTAGGAAGGTGTTCCAGGCACGTCCAACTGGGAAGAGACCAAGGGGTAGACCTAGGACCAGGTGGAGGGATTATATCTCTTCGCTGGCCTGGGAGAGCCTTGGGATCCCCCAGTCAGAGCTGGTTGATGTGGCCAGGTAAAAGAAAGTTTGGGGCTCTCTGCTGGAACTGCTACCCCCGCGACCCGACCACGGATAAGCGGGAGAAGATGGATGGATGGATGGGTTTTTCATAGGTGGCGCTAGCGAGCACGTTGGAATATTTAACCCATTGACTCCAGAATATTGTATTTTTCACCAGTCCTGGCGTCCGTGCAAAATTATACAACTTTGTCAGCGTCCTAAAAGCCTCAAAAACAGGAAACGCCAGCAGAAAAATAATAATTCCACCAATAACAATAGGTTCCTCGCACTTCGTGCTAGGACGCCGTTGGGTCCTAGCGCTCCGTGCTCGGGCCCCAAAAATGACATCTTAACCTTTTAAGACTAGAAACAAGTCTCCATACTGTAGCTGACATTATGCAGAATTATACAGAAAAATAGCATTTTAATTGCTTTATTTTTTTCATATAATTGAATTCATGTATTAACAACATGTTTTTTAATAAACAATCCAAACACCCAATGTGTTACCCAATTTAAAATATTAAATTGACTTTGGTTTAGCTGTAAATGGCACATATCCGCTGTTAAATAAAGATTTAATGGAGGAAAAACATGTTTTATATAATGGATAAGCTTTTAATGATTTATAAATGATTCATTGCTGCAGACGATCCCTAAAGGGACTTCAAAATTGGATCCTCTAACCTGATGTTTTTTATATGTTGGTTTCAGAGTATTTTTTGTTTATTTAATTGTGCAGTTTATTTACTGGCCTTTCTGACTCAACCTCATGTCTTCAGGCCTCAAGAATAATAAAAGTTTCATCTTGTTTTCAATTTACAGCTTTTATTGTTGTTCTAGCAATGTACCTTCCTCTCCTGATATTAAGTTATTATTTGGTAGTGTTTACCCTTACATGCCCTTGCCTCAGCTCCCCTTCCTCCTGCCATTCATTATTAATAATGCTCAATGCCATGTTTTCTCACTCCCCCTCCCCTTTGTTTATCAGGTCTGGCTGACATTATGAAGCGATTGCTGACCAAGTACGACAACCTGTTTGAAATCTCTTTCCCTTACTCCATGGGCTGGCACGGTAAGAGTGTTCAAAAGAAGAAAAAAGTAGATGTCGTACTCAGTATTTAGGTAGTCAGTTTGATATGTTAACAAGCCTCACTCCCAGTAATCCGAAGTCAGTGTGTATCTCTCAGTCAGTCATAGATAAGTTTACTTTCTTCACGTTCAGGATTTGTTGTACAAATTGTTTTTCCTCTAGTGTTGGACCAAGTGTTTTCCTCTTAAATTGGCTCATATGATTCACCAACATGGCATTAACTGTAATAAATCATGTAGAGTATTGTGCTACAAACAAAATTCATATTCTACAGTCTGAGGAAAAACCTCTGTTTAGTACAAATCCTGTGATTTTGATTTATGTATCTTCTCCTACTCGTTCACCTAGCTCTTGTTTGTATTTTTCTTTAGGAGATGACTCACATATTTATATCGGCAGTGCAAAATTGAATAATTATTTTAGAAGGAATGCGAAAATGTCCGCTTAACTTTGCTTGGCTTTGGTGCTGAGGGAACTTGTCAGCCTGGTACTGGATCATATAAATAACTAATGCATCAGATATGGGCATTTTCCAAAACTGTAGCGTTATACAATTCTAAATAACTCAATTTGGGATTTATGACAATCTTTTCCAAGAACGTTTAACTTGAGATTATAATAATAAATCAAAACAAAACACCACAGTTGGAGGAACTGAAAGAACCAGAAAAGAAAGCAATTGAATAAGATACTAATGTTTTGAGATGATGCCTTTGCCATGAGCCCAAAATATGTTTTTATGTTGACATAACGTGCAAAAACGCCACAAGCATTATACAGAAAGATGAAATCTTAGCACTCTCAAGATAAGCTCAGACATTGGCTCGGTAACACTACTGAGACAGTGAGGGAAATACTAACTGTGAACACTGTCAGACACCATGCAGCAGGTTCAAGCTGAAACACAGGTTAGCAGAGTGCAGTGATACGAAGAGTGATGTGTGACAGAAAGGGAAGCAGTGTCATCATGGCTGAGCGGTCAGAATTACCTTGTGTAAGCACTAAGCTCAAGGTTCAAGGTTCAATCCCTTCAGCAGGTGTGTCTCCATGAGATGTTCCATAGAAAGCAAGCAAGGTCAAGCACTAGTCTAGTGTTTATGTACACTTGTAGCAAGCTAACATGCTTAACCAAATTAGCACTGTCATTTTGAGTATGTTAGCACCAAGCACCATTCTCTGGAGCTGAAAAACAAAGCTAATGTATTACTCCTGTTTAAGCTAAATGAAGGCTCCGCATAAACAGCTGTTAGCCTGGTTAGCTTCTGCTTCAGGACAATCCACTGGCTGGAACCCATCCATATGTGTTACAGCTATGGCTAGCTATGACAGCTTTAGCTAGCACTATTAAGTTAGTTCAAAACACAACTGTCCTATATGTAGCCTTACAGAGCCACTATGCCTGTAGACTGTTAGTTTAGTTCAGAGTTAGAATGTTATAATAATAATAATAATAATAATAATTCCTTACATTTATTATAGCGCTTTTCCAGATGCTCAAAGCGCTTTACAAATATATGTTATGTTGTTATTTGAAATAAGGACATTTGCGATTAGAGGCAACCCTACCAATAGTTTTGTAGTCGGGAAGAGACAAATCCACATTACATTTTGTGACCATTTTTTAGATGTTATTGTCGTATGTCGGTTAAAGCGCTTTAAATGTGTGAGCATTTATCACGTAGCTCGTAGACTTGGTTATGCAAGTCTGTTTCTTTTTCAAGGCAGCACACGAAAAAATATGGAAAGATTATACACCCATACTTTAGTGTGGAGAAAAGGACAGAGGGCATGAGAGGACTCACTTTTTATTTCATCACACGTTCAATCTTTGAAGTAAGATCTCAGTCTAAAGTTGCCTGTGGAGAAGTCTTCTACGGATCTTGTGTAAAGTTTTGGCTTGAATCTTGTGTAGTTTTTGATTTCTTATGTATAAACTAAAACGTATAAGCCATAATACAGGGATGGGATAACCGATAGGTAGTTTGTAGGTTCACCTCATTTTCTGTGGCAAACAAACTGGATTTGTTTTGTTTTTTACAATACGCCAAAAAGAAAGAAGTAAATTCATCTGCAAACATTTCTTTTTTATCCAAATTTTCTGGAACATTTTAACTCCAAACCTCAAGGGGTATTAAGGGAAAAGAGATTGCTTCGATTTTAATTGATGTGCTGAAGCGCGCTATCACAGTGTGTCTGTCACACACTGACCTTCTCATTTGTAAACTCTCATAATGAGTTGCCTTATCCTCCTTTCTGTTTGTGCTTTATTTGTGTTCATTTGGAAGCGGCCAGCTTTTCATTTTGTGGCTTGGCTTATTAGTGGCAGTGTGGAGATAGAAGTGGCTGGGTGGTGTTTGAGTCAGCTGGGATTAGAAAAAGCTACCCAGAAAGCATTACAGGCCGTATTAACTGGATTGAAAGCATCCTGTATATGTTGAAGTGGATTGACAGTGTAATGATTTGTCTCTTAAAATGGAAGCAGTAACTGTTTGGTCTTCCCCTATCTAGCATTATTTGTAAGTTGTTGGAAATCTGAGATGCTCACACACGAAAACAATTTAAAAGATGCTAATTGTCTGCTAATAGCAGAATCTGTCTCTTATCTGGCCCCCTAAGTCTTTTTCTGTCCTTCTTTTTGTTGTTAACCATCCATTAGATTACTTTATGTGGACCTCCTGTTGTCTCTATCTGTGTCTGATCAGCCCCCCATTGGCAGGAAACTGACACTAACGAAAAGCTCTTACTGTGAATACAATGAGCTTTCTCTCAATCTCGTTATTTATAAAAACAAAGATATGTTTCCACGTCTATTTCTGATATCCTCATTACCCCCCACTATGATTGGAAAGCAACACATGCAACAAAGGCAGCATATGTTAATACAGACAGGGATGACCTCTCTCATAACCCATGCTTTAATCTGCAAGTTCGACAAAGAAATGGGGACTAATAACATCAGAATAATAAAAAAACAAACATGATGAAGGCAGATGCTTCCATTAACAAAACAGGGCTTTCTGGATATTGAGTATGACAATTATGTGAATTATATGCCATGGCCTTCACCAGATTTTAGACGTCCCTCGAAGACTTAGGCATATTTATCCCTGCTGGTGCTCGGTTCCTCACAAAAAAAAAGCACTTCATCTCTATAAAACCTTTATTCTTTATTACACTGGGAAGATAACTGCTCTGTTGCCCACAGAGTCAACACTGGCTGCTTCTATAATTTACCTTGTTAGCTTCCTCATAGGGGGCTGTCTGGTCTGCAGCTACAAGGCGTTAATGAGGTTCATGTGGTGTGGACGGAAGAGAGATAAATGAGCATGTTGGGTACTGGCTATGTATATTCTTATGTGCTTTTAGAGTTTGATTGTGTGTTTGGATATAACTGGATGTGAGTTGAACACACAATCAGAGCTCTGGTTTCAGACAGGGTGAAAAGAGACGTGCAGTACAGAAGTTTTTGCGAGAAATAAAGACCTTTTTCTTTCACAGTAGAGGCACAAAATACAATATGAACCTGGAAATTGGCATTATATGTCCCCTTACAACTATTGATCATCTCATCAGCTTCTACATTGTGTCCCTCGTCTAATGTCCCCCTCTCTTAATTCAGGAGCCCCCACCGGCCCCAGTTTAAAGGAAGACAACTCTCATTGGCAGCTGCACGCTCACTACTACCCTCCCCTGCTGCGTTCAGCCACAGTGAAGAAGTTCATGGTGGGGTACGAAATGCTCGCCCAGGACCAAAGGGACCTCACCCCTGAACAGGTGAACACTGCACAAGCTTAATATACATGTTTATGTTCAGAGACGGACCTGTATGTTCTGCAACATAACATACTGTGGATAAATATCTAGAATGTCATTTTAGACTACAGTTATCTTGCTTCACATTCATGTTTTCAACTATTTCATTTGAGTCCTCTACATCAGTATGGGGAAGTCTCCTGAATGTTGGTGTTGTTTAGTCGTTAATTCCCATTGATGTAAAGCTATAAGGAGATTTGTTTTCACCCCAGGCCATGACAAACTGACTCTTTTCCAGCATACCAATTCAAATTCAAAACTGTCCCTGCATTTCTATTTAAAACTGTATAACAGCTTGGCATTGTGTTTTTGTATTCTTCTTAGGCTGCTGAGAAGCTAAGGAACCTACCAGAGGAGCACTTTAAAACCAGAGGACACCTTGAAAAAGGAGGAGGGGAAGACAAAGAAGATAGTGGAAAATGAAAAAGACCCATGTGACGGTGAAGAGGAGGAATCATAGCTTTATTTGAACTACAGTGGACTTTGATCTATAACTTGTTTTGTAAGAAAGGATTAACATTCAAACTTCATGGTTTAAAGTTGTTAAATATCTAAAAGTGCCTCATCGTCGCTGGGCTTTAAGGTTTTGTTTTTACTGGCCCAATATCAATTCAATACATTCTGTACTGGTTCTGGTCTTGTTTTGTTTTTTAAATGATGAAACGGACTTCAAACAGAATATGCTCTGGAAGATAATGAGAGAAAACACTTATTTTCTCCCCATCTGTCTCTTCTGTTGAAATTAAACTTTGTTTGTTGTTTTGTTGTGTTTGAAGACTTTCAAACACAAAGCTTGTTTTCGTCCAACGACAAAATGAGTTATTCTTAATTCAAATGCATGCCTTATTTCCTTGTGAGTGTGTTTACATGCGGAATAACCTTGAAGTAGTTTGAAAAGTAGTTTCATAGAATACAGATAAAGCTACAAATGCCATTTCACTTGTCAATGTCAACAGAGACAGTATTCTTTTATAATCCTTAAATAATAACACTTATTAATACTCTTTTCGGATTGGTCCATGACATGCTATGTACTTTTCTTTCCTTAAGGCAACGCAGGACGCAAAACAATTATTTTGAAATCAATAAAAATATTTTGCGTCAGATTGTTCATTTATTTAGTAGGTAGTTCTTCAATAAGCAGGATCGTGTATAGCTGGTTGGCCTTGAATGACCCGGAAGGGGTTTATTTCACAAAAATGTCCCACTCCCTGTTCATTAGCTCATACTTATGACACTATACTTGACAATAGTGACGCATATTTACACTGAATCATGGGTGTTCCTAATCTAATATATCCTACTAATATTATAATCTGTACATCAGCATGGTTGGAGAAAAAAATAAGCCCTAAGTGAAAGCCCTAAAGGCACTACTGAGTGCCCTGAAGAAGGGGAGGGAAGGAGCTGAGGGATTCATGAGGATTAAGGTATTTGCCTCCGACAACATTAAACTGAAAGACAAGATCAGGTTGTTTTAACCCATGTGAATAAAATGTGGTGTACTCTCACTATGACAACAGCAGATGGTAGTGTTGCTTAAAAAGTCAGATTTAAAAATGCAAGCCCCCCTATTTTTATTATCGGTTTAACTTAAAGCATCTATACACGCTCTCATCTCTTCAGCTCGGGGTGAGTAAACTGTGTGAGTGTGTGTGTCCTTGAGCGTACAGAGGGGCTTCATGTCCATACACACCACTCTGTTGCACCCAATAATTCTCAATGAAGATGTTCAATTATTCAACATATGGCTACAGGGTCAAAACATGACTTAATCCTCTTACTTTCGAAAAAGGATTGCCTTTTTATAGAGATAAAAGTCGATGTTGCAGTGCAAGCAAATTGACCTTTTAATCTAAACACTCAAATGAATGCCTGATAAACTTTACTTTCAAGATGTCATGATCAGTCTGGGGGTTTCCCATTATGAAGCGGAGGGCAATTGTGTAATGTCCTAAAAATCTAAAATCTAATTTTGTATGTGTTTGAAGATTTAAGAGATTCAATGTTCAATTGTCATATGCACAACAGGTAAAGGGTCACTGTTGGCAGTACACATCTTAGCGGAATCTCGGTTCCGAGTAAGAACCAATAACAATTGCCCGGTACAGAGACCTACATTTGGTTCTGCTTATCGCTTCCATCGCATAATATATACATTTTTTTATTATGGACAGATGCTTTTGCTATAAACATATGTATGTGAGGACATTTCACAGAACTCAGGAGTTTAACTAAACATTATATTTTACTTTAACTATTAGCAAAATAGTCGGCGATTATTTTCCTGCCTTATCACTTCACAATGTGGCGTGTATTTTGCCTTCTGCAAGATCAATAGCATTTATAAGTTGCTAAGGAGAGCTTTCTTCACAAACCATTGTTGTTTTCAATGTGTCAAAAAAAAGGCATGACAATGTCAAAGTTGACAGACAGTCTACCAACACAGGCGACACCACCAGGGTGAGATTTAGGGTTGGAGGTAGTTTTAATTTGGGGAAAGGTATGATAGTAGCAGGTATGTTTAAACTCCAATGAAGAAGGAGCGTGTGTGTGCCATGCTGGTGTTTTAATTATACTAATTTGAGCCCATATTGCCTGTAAAATTAAACAGATGGTAAGGATTGGTTAAGGACCATATGGAAACGTTTTTTCAAAAGTACACCAAGCTTCCTTTTCCACCTTCCAGTATGCCACTGGTTTCAGTTCCTTCCAGCATGATATGAAAATCAACCTGCAAAGGCTTTGACAAAGCGAGCGGAACCCAGCAGTGCTGCAATCTCGTTGCCAAGAATCAGTGTAAATAGCTCATTGCACTTTTGTTTCCAAATTACTTTTCATGTCGGTTTCTTATTTTTTAACCAACTGACGTGATCACACAGCCAAAACACGTTTTGATATGGTTATGTCCTTAATGGCACCCAGAGAGAAAAAATGTTTTTCCACTCTGGTGACTATTTACAGCCACCTGAAGGCTACAGGTATCCGTTCCACAAAAAAAAGAAAAAAGTTAAATTAAACTGACATTTGAAACACCAAAAGGATTGAGGTCATCTACAGTTCCCTAAAAGTGCCTTTTTTATTTAAAAACTATTATTTAAACTATGTTCCATCAGGTTTTGTTCAGGCCATAAAAGTACAAATTCAGCAATTTGATTACTCTCAACTTAACCATCAGCTGCAACCATTTAAACTGGAATGTACCATCTGCTTAAGTTAGCACAGGGGAGCTCAGACTCTACAAAGCATTCAAGAATGACACAATAATTAACAGAGACATGTTTTTTGTTTTTTCAATTACTGCTTTTATCAAAGTTAACCTATAGACATACAAACACACATTCAGGTACACCAACTAAAGAAGAGTTAAATGACTAAAGGACAGTTTACCCTTCCTTTCCGACTTGATTTACCCAGTAAATTAAGCCTAACGATGCACACCTGTGTTCACTTTTACTATATTAACAACTGAGCCAACTTCATCACAACTCATGACCATAAGTATGACTGTTTATTTTATTTTTGCATCATCTACATACAAATAAACCTTATTTTTAAGTTTTAAAGTTTTTTATTAATTTGACTATTGTTAAGATCAGAGGGACATACTTTTCTGAAATAATGACTTAATGGCACCAGATGCTGTACATTTGAATAAACACACATAGTATGTGTGTGGCAATTAGATTATATAACCCTTTATTCTGAAATAAAAAACATTTGAAACGGGTTAAATTGGACCTGGTACAACATAAAGGTCCAACCTACTGAATAACTGAATTACTGACGAAATGAAATTATTAAAACAATACAAATCTTTAAACTGTATCTACAGACCAAATAAGGTCAGCCATGAGCTTGTCTTTCTGCTGTTTGCTGTTTTTTATTTACAGAATATCAAACTAGAATGTACTTGTTTCTAAGAATGTCATCACATTCCCAGTTTTACTTGCTGCCAAGGGGAACCTCTGATCAAGAGGAACCTTTGACTCCACTCTGGCCACTTTCAATACATATTTAATAAAGGTGGATTTCACATATGACACCATTTTTTTTTGCCAAACTTGACCTAATTCTACTTAATCAAATGTACTTAAAATGCAACAAGACAGGGCTTGATCTGACATGAAAGGTGATGTACAATGATACTGTAGGTTTATTGCTACATTTGAATGAAATGATGCTACCAGCTATTGTAACTAATCAAATATGACCAGCTGTTACTTAAAGAGAACCATGAGCTCTTTTTTAATTAGCAAATGTATATTAATGTATATTGCTTTCCACACACCATTTTGGCAGCTGGTCTTTTTGCCCGTTATATACTGACTAATTTTTGTTTTAATACATTTTATATTAAAAGTGTATGAGAACAGCCTGACCACTGATGTATTCAGGGGAAACAAACTGAGATAGATCTACAAATGTGGTTGGTAGATTGATTGAAAAAAATCACATTGTTAGATCAGCCATCATCAAATATAAAAAGTGTTTTTCAAGATTGTTTTTGTTCTAGAATCAGTGATTCTCAAAGTGTGGTCCGCGGACCACTGGTGGTCCGTGAGCGCCCCCTAGTGGTCCGTGAGTATATTGGTAAAATTTCACATTTTTAATTAATTAATTAATTAAAGTTTTCCGCACTCTCGCGGGAATATCTCCGCAATGGAGCGAGCTTAAGTTTCACTTTCGATTGCATGATATAACCCAGATAAACACCTTCATCACACATGTTGCCACTTATTTGTACAATTTTCAGGCGATTTGTAAAAAACGATGTGTTTTTGGATATTTGTGGAGTTAGGTGGTCCGCGAGTGTTTTTTTATTGGTTAAGTGGTCCTTGGTATGAAAAAGTTTGAGAAACACTGTTCTAGATGAATAGAAGAGCACTTTCAAAGCCCATGGGCAAGGTCACACATCATCCACACACACTCGCCACTTTATTATTTATACTACTTCCAGTGAAGCAATCTCAGTTTCTTCATAAATATTAATATTGATTCCAGGTTTTGCTAAAATATACAACTGAACAGCAAAGGTTTGCCGGTATAGTTTACAGAGGGAGAGGTTCTTCAAGAGCGTGTGTGTGTGTCTGTGTGTGATTGTGTGTGTGAGTAGAGCCCTTTTTATATACTGTGACGGACCTCATTCATTCAGGTCAATATTTATCCAGTCCTCCAGGCTCACCGTGGATCCTCTTCTCATCTATTTCATCACTCCTTTGAGACGACTCTGTGTAAGCGTGTGTCTCGTGTGTGTATCAGGATATATATTTCTATCTCCACATAAATCGCAAGGATTGTGTGTGTTTGTGTCTGTGTGTAACCCTCGTCTATCTCCTCCCTGGCAGAGGAAGGAAGATGGTCGGGCTTCTTTGCCAAATTCTTCTTGCTCGTCTTTTTCCAGCACTGTTCTGAGATAATTGTTCTCCCAATGCACCTAATGGCGCCAAATGTACTTTATAAAATGATGGTTGAATATCAAAAAGGCCTGCTTGCTGTTGGCGCTACAGAACTATGGAAACATTAATTGGTGAATATGATTTTAAGTGCTTTATATTCTTCGCTTATTCATATATCTTTGAATATATTGAACCAATGACTGACTCATTTTTCACAGGCGTAATACTCAAAAGCCCTCTCCCCCCGGACCTTCAACTGGCTTTTGAATATTCCTGAGGTTGTGTCAGTCGGACTGGTGTTTGTTTTAAAAGGATTTATTGAAGAATTTTGAAGCAGATCTTTTCTTCCCTCCAGGCTGATGACAGGGAGTAAGATAGAGGGACACAGAGCTAACAGACTCATTACATTTAATTTGAGGCGTGAGCAAGCTTCTCTTCTACTAACCTGTCACCTCACCGGATCCTAAAATTATAAAGAGGGAATAGAGAGCTGGAGACATGGGCATGGACGGAAAAGGGAGGAAAGAAGTGTGATGGCGGTTTGCGAGGACACCAGAGTGACTTCATTTGAGTTTAAAATGAGAGTTCACAAGCTACAGCCTCAGGAAAGTCACACTGTGGCACAATCTCAGTAAAAAGGTTATGTTATATAAAGTTGTTCATCTCAGGACTGCATTATATTGTAGGATGTTCCTCCAATTTGTT